ATGACCAACTGGCTTTCAATTCCCTCTTATTGGCAAGGGCCATTTTTAAATGTTGTTCACCTCTCTTGTGTTGTCAAAGGGAAAATGAATCACCTTTCTTCGTTGTAAATAAGGGGAAACTTTTGTATGGGCATGTGTTTTGTGCACACTGATATCTTGGAGGCTCCGGGGGTCGACAACTTGCCCCCAGTGCAATGAATTCCAAATTAACGAAGCGTGCTATGTGTCTGGAGACCTCTTACTGGATGATCCACCTGTACCTGGTTCTCCTCTCTTTGCGTGTCTTATTTCTTATCTCTTCATTTTGTTGTGCTCTGCTTTTTCCACCCCTGTATCTCTTGCTCCCTTTGGCAAAGTTGCTATACGTTAACCTCATCCGTGCACGCGTCAATGTCAGGTTTAAGTCCGGGCACATAATTGCCTCAGGATGTAACAGGGATGACCAATAACTGGTAACGATTTCTTCTGCTTCTGCAGCCCAGCAGGTGGAGAATGAGGCCTTCTCTGGGGAGGGAAGGGAAGAGGAAGGGGGATTGTTGTCACCTTCTCCATCAGCCTTCCGTGTGCGGCCACACCTTGTCTTTGGCACTAGCGTCTGGGGTCCGTTTTGTAACTTGAACGAAGCAAACCAAGCACAGTGGAATTTGCTCACTTTCACTACACACACACACTCACACACTTTCCCAAAGGAAAGGGCAGATTTTCACCATCTTTACTTTTGCCGTGTTATGTAAACAGGTTTTCAAGTTACGCCGTCACGAACCTCTCTGCGGGTGATGTTATGTCAGTGTTTTGGGGTTTTCTTGTTCCTGGAGGCTTTCTTCTTCCAAAACCAGGAAGAGAAAAAGTGAGAACTAGAATTTATGCTTTGAGCAAACTGAGGACACGGCAAACAAAAGTTACTAAACGAATGCAATATTTAAGCGATGCCCCTGCATTCTATGCTGAGATTTCTCCAATTTGATCGAATTTGTGAAATGCTGCAAAACCAAAAATCTGTCTCCTCATTACATAATATGTCAGAGTCAGACATCAGGCTAAGCCTCGTTCTTCTGACTCTCAGAAGCATTTTAACAACAAAAACCTCGTAGATTTTGTACGTTTTATAGAACATTGATGTTAAATTGACTGAATCGATCAACTTTAGTATATGTCCTCAGTGGTATTAGGGAAAATTGTGAAAATTGTGTGTTTTATTTATTTTTTTATTTTATTTTTTTGAGTTTATTTATTTTGAGAGATACAGAGATAGCACAAGTTGGGGAAGGGTGGAGAGAGAGAAAG